TATTATTATTTTTATTTGATATTTAAAATTTTATTTATGATGTTTTTCAGAAAGTGGAGTTATGTTCAAATAATGCTACAGGTGTACATTTGTTTATATATATATCTATATCTAGATAGATATATATATATATCTACTATAGATGGTGACATGAGTTTAAAAAACACAACATATTTGTTGTAAAATAAATCAAGGCAGCAGAAGTTCTGAATTGAGAAAGCTAGTCGGATGACCAGCGGAACGTCTTCAAGGCAAAAAATATATAAAAATACAGAAGTTCAGTTGCCTTGATTTATTTTTTGCACATATACCATGACCTGGATGAAGGAGAACATTCACAGACACAAAAATGCATCCGTTTTTGCTTTGTTTTACCTCTGCTCTACAACAATGTGCTCTCGCGTGTCATGTGATACATTCTCTTTAAATCTGAAGTCAAGAATACATACCTGGAACCGTCTCATGTCCCGGGGGTTCCCTGCAGTCTTCAGGCAATTCTGGTTACATTTCAAAAAGAATTTGAGGAAGAACCTGGAAAAGGCAACGATACAATGCTGGAGGTTAATTTAAGAACATGCCATCAGCAGAGAAAGGCACCTAGGAACGTGAATGTGCTTTGTTGTCTTGAGTATGGTTTTAGATGTCAGTATTTGATTTTCCTACACAGTAATATCTCTCTGTACCGGGATACATAAGGCGCAGTCATCAAAACACTTCAGGTAGCCTTAGATAATAAAATAATTCTGCCAATTTTGCTCACATTTAGGGTGATTTTTGGTGATAGACCTCGGCGACATGGCTGGATGGATTCTGATTTGATTGCATAAAGCTGCCACCGAAAAACTATTTATTGTTTATTAATTATATAGGCGAACTAGAGTCCACCGCCATCAGAACTGTACATCTCTACCAATGCTTTCCTTGGCTCCATCACCCTCAGCATATAGTGCTAACGAGACATCTACAACTCACTGGCATAGAGGTGGACGGTCACCGAAATGTCAAATTGTTCTGTTGTCACATTGCAAAAAATCAAACCTGCTGTAAATTCTGCCATACCACATTACCTAACACAGGGAATAACAAACCATAATAACAACAAAAAGTCTGAACGTGCCAGCCAAAGACAACTTATTAGTCTTGCTTCTCTTTACCAAAAATCATGTATATTGCATTAGGACGGCATTCATTCCAAAAAAAGAACATGTTTTCTTGAGAGACATTTACAGCCTGATGATAGCCAATTCACGAATGTGATGTGTAAAGTAATGCAAATAATAAAATATCATTATCTCTTCTTTTTATCACCTACTTGAGGCTGAGAAAGGCGATGTTTTGTAATGTGCTGCCGCTTAAATAATGTATGCCAGTGCCATGTACACACAGCAAACACATCAGCATCACGCCGTAGATGTAAACATGCTGATGTGCATTAAAGGAAGCCGCTGTGAACAGCACATTACATGGCATTTAAAGAATAACTCTGGGCAGAATTAATTATTCTTAACCCCTTGTAGTGGGGCTACCCCCCCCTTACCCCCTCTGGCTACCCCCCCGCCCGTGACTGCAAGGGTTAAGTGCTCATTTTGGTCTAGGGATCAAAATAAAAAATATATACTCACCTGAACCTAGACCGCTCCCTGCCGTTTCTCTCGCTCCCCCTCTGCTCCAGCGTTCCAAGGTCCTGTGTGTCATCACATCCTATACAGCGTATAGGGCGCAAGGACGCCAAGGGACATTGCACCAGCGGAGGAGGAGAGAGGCTTCAGGGACGAGTCTAGCAGCCAACTGGCTGCAAGGTTCAGGTGAGTATAACTTTTTTATTTCACACTAAATTTTTCATCCATCCTTGCGATTTTTGCATTGGTTGTTTTTAAATGGTGATATTAAGACAATGTCCCAATGAATTTAGGTTATTCGGCATGGTCCCCGTGATCAGGGTTAGGGCAGAGGTGTGTTTTCCCACTTCAGAAGGCTGCACATGAATAAACACACTACATGGCTAAAAGTAGGGATGCACCAATACCGGTTTTGCCGTATCGAGGACAAGTGTCGATACTTTGCTTTCGATACTCGGCGATAACGAGTACCGATACCTGTGCTTGCGCTGGCATGGAGCAGGCTTCCGGGGCAATCAGGAAGCCGGGCAGTGGGTAATGACATACTGCCTGGCTTCCTGATTGCCCGGGAAGCTGGCTCCATGTTGTTTGGCCGGCTTGATTGTGATTGGCCGGGAGACCAGCTTCCCAGCCATTTAGCATCGAGCCGGCTTCCCGGCCAATCAGGAAGCTGAGAGCTCAGGTACCTTTTTAGTTTTCCGTTAGCACTTTTCACCCAGCAGCAGGCAAACTGAGCCCTGAGCATTAGGCTGGCATATATAGTGGCCTGTGCACAGCTAGTAATAAGGTCTGGTCAACAAGTAAGGTGTGGACCAAGGAATGAAGGCTTTTCCCACCCAGTGTTCTACAAAGCCTCCAAGCTTCAGGACCCACAACTGAGAAAACAAAAAAGTTTGTTTCCTCCACCCAGGAGCCCCTCACTAGGTGTAATCGAAAACCTAGATGACACACTATAAACAATTGAGTAAGTTAGAGTTACAGCAAAACACTGGACCAAAATATTGATAAAAATGAATAACCCAATAAAAGCTAAAATGACAAAATCAGCGTTTGTAGTCATATTCCCTTTTTTAATACAGAGCTTTCCTCTGCAGTACTATTTTCTGCCACTAGATGTCCTCAGTGGGATGGCCAGCATCATACAACCCACTTCCCCTGAGCCAGGGTTGTCCTGTACCCACCCCCAGCTTGTGACTGTACATTGAAAGGAAATGGAAACCAGTGAAGAGTTTCTCTCTCTGTCACTCTGCTCCTTCTATCAACATGCTGCTAGTCAGCACATAAACCAGCGATAGGCAACCTCGGCTTGCCAGCTGTGCTGCAGCTACAAATCCCAGCATGTCTCTGCCACTAGGAGTAATGCCTGTGGCTGTCAGAGTCTTGCAATGCCTCATGGGCCTTGTAGTTCCAAAACAGCTGGAGTACCTAGGTTGCCTATCCCTGGGCTACAGTATTCATTTATTCTAGATACTAGGAGCCTACTATAAACTGATTAGTTCCTTGAGCTGCTTCTTCCTGTCACACTTAAGCTCTGCTGTACAGAGACTGATACCAGTTTGAATTCAGAGATTTACACTGCTTGTATTTAAAAAATGCATGTGGTAATGTATTAGTGATTACGGTGATACGTTATATTGTGTCTTTTATATCAGATTACAGTTCAGCTTTACATCTTGAGAATTGTATTTTAATTTTTTTGCTTGTTTTGGTGTATTTTATTAATATGCCTCTAAATGGGGTTTATGTAACAGGGATTATAATACCTTGCAGGCACACATATGTAAAAGCTTCTTATTAGGAAGGACAGAACGCGTCTGAATGGAAAGTGTTATTTCCCCGCACACAATTGACTGTCTGACCTGTAATCGCATACACCATAAACGGCTACTTTTCATCTTCCTTTATATAGAAGAGACCGCTAATGTGCAACAAATTATACAAACGTGCTGATTGTCTCTTCATGTAGCACATGTACACACATCGGGGCCGAATTTTTTTTTCATTTACAATGACCTCTGTTCCTTCAAAAGAGGTTCAAATGCATCCCTAATATGTGCTCATCCAGAAACTTTGGGGTGCACAAAGTCGAGAAAGATTATGACTCCCACAATAAATCAATCCCATTTGTGTGAATGTTGTTAGCTGTCCTTTCAGATAAAGTAACTTTTTGTTAAAGTGACACTAAACTCAGGAGTTAAATCTTAAAAATACATTCAAGTACCTTAATTATTACCAACAATGTATCTTATTTGTGTATCACTCGGCTGTAGATCCTCCAATCATCTCTGAATTGGTGCTGACACTGTCCTTCCTTCTGGTGGGGGGCTACTTTTCTTCCCCGTGGTCCCTGTGTGTTGTAAAGTATCCACCACTCCAAGCTCACTCCTGTGATGGACTACAATCTCAGGTTTAGTTTACTAATTGGTAGGGATGCACCAATACCGATACTAATATCCGTACTATTGCCGATACCGAGTATTTGGGAGAACACTCGTACTCGGTCAAATTCTCCCGATGCTTATCCTGAACTTCCGGTATCAGGAAGCCGGGTGGTGCATCATTACATGCTGCCGGCTTCCTGATTGGCCAGAAAGCCGTCTCCATGCTTCCTCGTCACCTGGGAGCATGGAGCTGGCTTCCCGGTGAATCAGGAAGCCAGGGGGTGGGTAATGACTCGCCCCCCAGCTTTTCAATTGGCTGGGAGGCCGGCTCCATGTTACCTCGTCACCTGGTGACGAGGAGCATGAAGCCAGCTTCCTGGCCATTTAGGAAGGCGGGCGTTGTGCAATGACTCACCGCCTCACTTCCTTATTGGTCAGGAAGCTGGCCAATCAGGAAGCTGGGCAGCGCATCATTACCTGCCCCCCAGTTTCCTGATTGGCCAGAAAGCCGGCCCCATGCTTCCTCGTCAACTGGTAACGAGGGAGCATGGAGGCAGTTTCCCAGCTAATTGGGGTCCGAGTCATTACATGCCGCCCGGCTTCCTGAATGGGACTTCTGGTATCGGTATTCGGTATCAGCGAGCACAGGAAAAAAATGAATATCTGTACTTGTACTCAATACCGAAAAAAACAGTATCGGCGCATCCCTACTGATTTGTATGGAGATTGCAGTCCATCCCGGGAGTGAGCTTTGAGCGGTGGCTACTTTACAACACACACAGGGACCATGGGGAACAAAAGTAGCCCCCCTCCAGAAGGAAGGACAGTGTCAGCACCAATTCAGAGATGATTTGAGGATCTACAGCCGAGTGATACACAAATAAGATACATTTTTGTTAATAGTTAAGGAACTTGAATGTATATTTAAGATTTAACTCCTGAGTTTAGTGTCACTTGGTCCCTATGTGTGTTGTAAAGTAGTCACTGCTCCAAGCTCACTACGGTGATGAACTACAATCTCATGTTTAGTTTACTAATTTGTATTCAGATTGTAGTCCATCAACATCACGTGACCCAAAGAGATGCTGCCTGGGGCAACAACCTCAGGCTGCCTCATTATAGGGATGGCCTTGGCAGTAAGACACAGCTACCGTATAGCACTGCTTAGCAGGAAGCAGAGCATGTATATGTAAATACGACTGTCTCCACATACATGCCTAATTCAAAACCACATTGCTGAAATATACCCATACTGTTACTTATAAAAGAAGGAGCCTATGTTTTTGGGGCAAATTTTTATATTTTTTTTTACATTTGTGGTTTTCTAGCTGTGTTTATAAAAGCAAAACATATGTTTTACATTTTTCTTTTGTGCTCTCCACATAAATATAAAAGACACGCACAAAAGCAGGCAGCACAGTAGTGTAGTAGTTAACACTTCTGCCTTGCAGCACTGGGGGTTCCTGGTTTGTATCCCTGACAGGTCACTAACTATAAAGAGTTTGCATGTTCTCCCTGTGTTTGTATGGTT